ACTCCCTAGCAATTTCTTATGAACAGAACCTTCTTTCATGAAGCCAGCGCTGGTCGTGTGGCAGAACTGGAATTATAGGCCTCTGCCACCATGCCTGGCTCTTTCCTTTCTATTTTATGAAATAATTTCAGGAAGATTCACATTAGTTCTTTATAAAGGTCTGGTAAAACTGAACTTAGAATCCATCTGGTCCTGGGCTTTCCTTTTCCTTAAAAGACTTCCTCATAAGTCTTTTAATTGCTGCTTCGATATCATTGTTTGATGTTGGGAACCAGGAGGTTTCCTATATCCKCATGGTTTAATGTAGGTAGGTCATATGTGTTTTAGAAATTTGTCAATATCTTCTAGATTTTTCAATTTATTAGAATATACAATTTCAAAATAGTTCCCAATGTTTTTCTAGATTTCAGAAATGTCAGTTATGACTCCTTTTTCATCTCTGATTTTGTTGATTTGCATTTTCTCTCTTTGGGTTAGTTTGACTAAGGTTTTTTATCAATCTCATTTATCTTTTCAAAGGACCAACTCTGTTACATTGATTCTTKGTATTTTTTATTCTCAATTTTATTAATTTAGGCTGTGATCTCAATTATTTCCTGTCTTCTACTGATTTTGGAATCAGTCTGTTCTTGCTTTTCTAGGATATTGAGGCATAATATTAAATTGTTTATTTAAGACATTTCTGTGGATTTTTAAAAATGCAGACAATGATACAAACTTTCCTCTTAGAGTTGCCTTATTACTATCCCAGATATTTTGATATATTGTATCTCTGTTCTGTTTCTTTCTAAGAGTTTTTGAAATTTTCTCCTAATTTCTTGTATGCCCCATTTCTCATTCAAAAGCATATTATTAAATCTCCATGTATTAAGATGTTTTCTTTTTTTATATTGTTATTGATTTCCAATTTTATTCCATTATGATCTGATATGATGCAAGGAATTATCTCTATTTTTTGTATTTTCTAAGACTTGTATTGTGTCCTAAATTATGGTCCATATGGTCCACTTTAGAGAAAGTTGCATGTGCAGCTGAAAAGAAAATGAATTTGGTTGTAGATGGGTGAAATATGCTATAGAAGGCTATTAGGTCCATTTGATTAATTGTATTTTGTTGTAATTTTTTTCTTTCCTGWAGAATCTTTACTTAGTTTATGTCTGGAAGATCTACTGTGAGAGAAGTGGGTGAAATCTCCCAGTATTACTATATCCTACTCCACTTACATAGAGTAGGATTTGCTTTATATGCATAGATGCCCTAACATTTGGGTCATAAATATTCACGATCATTACATCTTGTTGAATGATTCCCTTAACCAGTATGAAAGGACCTGGTTGTATGTTGTGATTAATTATGGACTGAAATATTCTTTGCCAGATGTGAAAGTAGAGATTCATACTTACTTTTAGTCTCCATTTACATGCTATATATTTTTTCTGTCCTCTCACCTTCAGCCTGTAGATGTCCCTCMTATAAGGTGACTTTCTTTGTAAACAGCATAGGAATGGGTCTTGTTTTTTCTTAATCCATTCTGCCAATCTTTGACTTTTGAKAGGTGAGTTTAGACCATTTATATTCAGTGTTATTATAGAGATGATTTTTATTTCTTTACATTTTGATTTATTTATAATATTATTTTAGACTTAATGGTTCTTTGATTGACTAGTCTTGTAGAGTGGGATTCATCCATAGGTTGGCTCTGATATTTATTTTTTTGTGTCTTGTCAGTAAAATATTTCACTGTTTCTTGAGTATGTTTTATAATAGTGGCTTAGTGGTTATGATTTCTTATCAAGGAAGGTTTTTTTCTCATCTTAAATTCTAGAGGATAATTTTTCTGGATATAACAATCTTGGTTGGTAGCTGTTACCTTTCAGGGCTTGGTATATATTATTCTAATGCTTTTAGGGCCTGGGTTGAGATATCAAAAGGTAGTCTAATTGGCTTACCTCTAAATGTGACCTGTTGTTTTTCTCTTGAAGCTTTTAAATTTTTTTCCTKGTTAGACATTATAATTATAATATGTTTTAGAGATGATTATTTTTTTATCTTGTATACTTGTATATCTTGTATTCTTGCAGTGGGATTTCCATCTCACTTGGAAAATTTTCTTCTGATATTATTTCATGGAAAAGCTTGTGCATTCCTTTCGTTTGCATTTTGGTGCCTTCTCCTATGTCAATGACTCCTTGATTTTGTCTYAATGTTTTCCAAGATTTTTTGAATATTGTTATGGTATCTTATCATCTTTTATTTATTGTCAGCTTTATTTTCAAAATCATATACTTTGTCTTTGAGGCCTGAGAATCTATCTTCAATGTGGTCTCATCTATTGGTAATGCTTTCAATTGAATTTTTAATTTGATTTATTGAGTCTTTCATTTCTAGGAATTCTATTTTTTTTCTTGAATTTCTCTCTTTATTGAAATGATATTTTATTCCCAGTATTCTAAGTTCATTCCTTACATCTTCTTTTATCTCACTAAATGTGTTAGGTTTGAACTTTCTAAACTCTTTACCCAACATTTCCTCCACTGTGATTGGATCAATTGTTGTGGGATGGATATCTGAGGTAGCTTGTTTCCTTGCTTTTTCTTTCTTTCTTTTTTTTTTTTGTAAATATGTCAATGTGCTGGGATGATGATCTCTTCTACTTTTATGCAAGTAACAGTTCTTTAGTGAGCCTCTTTCTCTTAGGTGCCCCAGGTTGAGAGAATATTCAAGTATCGACTCCCAAAGGATGCCCTTCCTGTGCCCAGTATCCAGCACCACTTTGTGACAAGATGCTACATCCTATTAACTGCAATCACTTTAGAACAAAGCCGTGTGCTGATAAACCTCAGAGTGGAAAAACTTGTTGAAAATGTTCTCCATTATTCCTCTAATCCAAGTATAAAATTGTAACAATGTTCTTCAATAGGTTGAGAAATTAGTTATTAAATAGAGTAAAATTATTATTACACTATATAGGGGCTGAAAGGGGAGAAGAGAAGCAATGGGCAAAGAAGCAAAAGAAAAAAAGAAAATATTGAAAGAAGTAATGGAATCTAAGATAAAAACAAGAAAAAAGTGGGAGTATATTTGAGGCAGATTCAGGTAACGCTAGAGGGAAAAGAGCCTAAGAGGAGCAAGTGTAACCTGAGACAGGCAAGCAGAGAGGAAGGGTGATTCCAGTTAATTATTTAAAATATCAGAAGGAATACAAATAATTGGGTTGAGGCCTGCAATACTGAATAATAAAGGAAGATCTATCAATTCAATACAAAAGGTCATAGCTGTGAGATCAAAAGTGACATTAGAGCTATTTGATATTTTTTGCTGAGGTGGGAAGATTTCTTATGAGTTCCTGATCTGGATTTCATCAGGAATTGCAACTTTAGAAGATGCTCACTGCTCCTTGGCTTTTCCTCTAAGTTTTCCTGGGTAGAAGTAGTGAGCACAGCAGCTCACCTCTGATGTGATTCTAGAAGGCTCCTTTTGATCTTTGATATGTCCAGGTACTCCTAGCTTTCTGGAGGGTCAGAGAGGTCCTAATTGTGACAGAGCAGCTGGGTTACTCCCTGTTCGAGGGTGCAGTCTTGTGTGCCTTCTGGTGAAAAACTCCATGTACCAGGGTGGTTAGATGCATCAGGGGCTCCCCATGTGCACTTCAGGGTGTGCAGGGTGTGGCAGTCTAAGGTAGAGATGCTGTGGCCTGGTTAATGTGGCACTGAGTGGCCCATGAGAGGTGTATGGCTGTGGCCCCTCTGGAGTGTGCAGGCTGCACACTGATCAGTGAGTGATGTCTGTGGGGTGCTCCTCTGTAAGCCCTTGGTGGGCCGTACTCCTGCTATTGATGCAGGAAGTTCTTTGCTGGCTGCTTTGGGGTTGTCCTCAGGGACTTCCTTCTGTGGGCTATGCACCTGAGGGAGAGGTGATTGGACTGGACCCTGGGACTCACAGCTGTGGCCCCTCCAAGAGATGCCAGGCACAGGAACTAYGTCCCTGGTTGCTATAGTTTTCTTTCTGTCTTTCCTCTCCCTAACCTCTGAACTGGAGATTAAATACAGTAGCATCTGCCACTGAGCTACTCCCTGAGCCCTTTTAATTTTAAAAAATTTGAGGCAGAGTCTTGCTCAGTTGCTGTTGCTGGCATCTGACTCGCTATACTCCTAAGTTGCAGGGATGACAGGTGTGCCCCCATGCCTGACTCCAGGTTGCTATGGTGTGCTTACCAGCTGAGGCTTGTTAGCCTCAAGGCCCATGTTTGGAGGGTATTGCATCTGCTGGCTGTTTCTGTGGGGTATGGGGGTGCAGGGGGCAGGGCTTAGGGCTGTCGCTGGCTGCTGGGGAGTGCTGAGCACCTGTCCCCCTGCCAGGGCTTCTTTGTAGTGGTGGTGTCTAATGGCTGGCCAGCTGGCTGCAACTGTGGGACCTGTGGGCACAGCCTCTCTCTGGTCTGTGGCACAGAAGCCTCCACACTGGCTGCAGCTCTTGGGGTTTTTTTTTTCTCATCCCTGTGCCTGGGGTCCAGTGTCCATTGCCTGAAGGTGGGGTAAACTTCGTKATTTAGTCTCCTCTAGGGAGACCAGCTGGCTGAGGACTCTACAGAATGGCTCCTGCCCAGCATGACTTTCAGTCCACAATTTGAACTAAGCCTTGAGATCTCCGTCACTGTCTCCCAATTTGACTTGGTTTGCTTCWCTTTGTAACTATGGATAAGGAAGTAACTGGGGCTTTCCCTCTTTGTCTTTCTCTCTTTGTTACCCCTGTCCTTGGCCCCACCCTGGTCAGGGTTCAGGGCCAAAAAATTCTGTTCTTATTTTCTGCCCCCATAACCAAACTCCACGTGCCTCCAAGACTCTAGCTGTCCAAGCTTGAGTTTAGAGCCCYGACAGTTGTCTACCTCTGCAGCCAGCTCTACTTGCATGGCTTAGCAGGGGTCGGGGCTGCTGCTTGGATCGGTCTGTCTTCTTCTCCAGAATAATTCTTACTATTTTTGTTTCATTTTGTCTTAATAGGGTACATTGTTTGAAAGCATAGGACTTATGACGTGCGAAGAATGGTTTTTCACAATAATGAGACTGGATGTTACAAAACCAATTTCAGATGAAAACGTTACGGTCCTCGATACAGCCTTTGGAGACATTCCGGTACGCCTGTACTTGCCAAAAAGGAAGTCGGAAAAGCAGAGACCAGCGGTGATTTTTCTCCACGGTGGTGCATTTGTCTTGGGAACTTGCAGTAAGTGCATTTTATTTATATGGCTGTGGGTTGGGCTTAGTGTAAACTGTGTGTTCATATTAAACTATGTTGTGTCTATATGTAGGATTGACAGAACATTTGTTTATGCAGCATTTATTTTTGTGACTATGTGAATGCATTTTACAGAGACATTGTGGACTATATCAGTCATGGTTCACTCACACTTCTTCATACACAGTGTGGCAAATAAAATAATAAAAATCATTAGATGAGATTTGGGTTTTATAAACTTTATCATCAAATATACTTCCATTGATAGTCTGGAATGGGAAGTTCAAATAGCCACCTTGAGTCTTAAATTACAAATTAGCAAAGGACCTGAATTCACTCTCAGAAAAACTCAGGTGAATCCAGAGTCAGGTCAATTCAGAAATGACACAACTAGTGGCTTCTGAGCAGTGGACACAGGGTTCAGGTTGGAGGCTCCCAGGCACCAGTAGTGTGGAAGCTCAGAATCTAACATCTGATTTGGCCACAAAATGAAAAGATGAAGTAGAAGTGAGTAATCAGCTCTTCTCTTAAAACCTGTGTACCCATCTAATATTTGGAGATAATTCCAAGGAATGATGTGGAGTTGCCAACACACACACAGACACACACACACACACAAACACACACACACATGTTTAGACCATTGATGAATGTTGGGAGGTCACTGCATGTCACAGGGTACAAGGGTTGTTATACTATGTACCTAGAAAGAAGATGTCAGAAACCAGGAAAAAGACTCATGTCCCCAGAGAACCTGCAGCCTAACTATTATATCCAAAAGTTTGGCTTCGTTTTCTGTCGATATGCAAGAAAGCTACTGTACTCAGATGGGTGGCCCATGACCGCAAGGTAAGCCTGTCCTGGGGTCGGGTATTGTGATCACAGTTTCAGACGTGAGGGAACAGACACAGAGGTTAAGTGGTTTTCTGAATCCTCTCATCAGTGGTTGGGGCAGTCACGAGGCCCAGGGCCTGCGGCAGGTCCACAGGCATGGCATGGGGTGGCACTGCTGGTGGGCAGTGTCTCTCACATGCTGTTACCCCTTCACCCCCAGGACCTCTGAACCCTCAATGCTCTCCAGGGCTCCCGGGTCCTTCCCTATCAGCTCTCCAGGTGTGAGTCCACAAGTTGGTGCCCATCACTTCACCTCTGCCCATCTCATATTATCAGCACCATAGCCATCAGTAATCCACATCTTTTTGATGATGACTTAGGAAAAGGCTTTTTTTGTTTTTTTAATCTTTTGGCAAACTTTGATCTTCTACTTGGCTTGGGACCCTGTTATCTCCAACTTCAGGATTGGATTTTATCAACACTTCTTCATTCTCCTACCTGACAGTGTGTGCTTTGGTGGACCCCATCTCTCCCCCCCTGTCCTTCCTGGACCCTGGTCACTGCCTACCACTCATCCTGTTCTTGGGCTCCTGGGCATACACTGCAGGTCTGTCTATGCCTCTATGATGAGTTCTTCAAGCTGTCATTGGAAAATGGCCACTGCCCCCTGCCCCACTGTAGGGCTCTTTACTCCTTTGGTCCCTGTAACAGAATTCCTTTCCTTACGTCCACCTCCTTTTCCCTCTGTCAAACTCGTGGGTTCTTTCTTTGCCCTGTGTAGTGCCCATGCTCCCCAGGATTCCTTCATCTCAGGTTTGACTCTGCTTTCACATGGTCCTCTACACTGTCCTCCTGTCCCTGCCCCCACCCCCACTCCGCATCTTCACCTATCACATTATTCCTGACATCAGTAAATTCAGCTGCTGACCAGGCCAAGGCACCTAAGAAGCCATAGATCAGCCAGCCTCAGCGGGAGCTTGTGGTCAACCCAGGGTGAGAAACACTTAAACGGGGTTAATGTAACATGAACTCAAGCGTAACAGAAATGGTCATCTCATCGTTACCTTCCAAGAATTTCAGAAAACCAATAAATAACAACGACCCTGACCTGAAGCCCCCAGAAAACCACCACCAACAAAACCCAGATTCCTTAGCTCATGTGTGTCCACGCACAGCTAGGAGCCTGGTCACACACTGTCTCTCAGCTCCAAGTCCAGTCACCGGCTCTGTCCACTCTGCTCTCTAGATTTCTTCTCTTTTTCTGTCTTAACCAAAAGACATAATTCATCATTCAGATTTCTTCCGGTTGCTTTTTCTCTGCTGGTTCACCCTCGTTCTTCGACTCTGTCACCTTCTTCAGGATTAAACCTTGGTAATATGGGAAGCTGACCATGTAACTTATTATTGAACTTTGATAATATCCACCACTTGTTGACAAAGAAATCTTAAGTGCACCACCCGAACTTGGACAGCCATACTCTGATTTCCCTGGGGTGCCTTACTTCCTACCCTCTTCCTCTCTAGACTTTATTTTGACTGTACTCACTGTATTTGCTTCCCTGAACTCTGGGTTCTCAGGAGCCTTTGCCTCTGAATCCACTTTTTCTCACCATGAATACATTTTCCTTTCCCATTTGATAGCAGTTATCACATCTTTGCCTTTTACATAGTGAACACCCAGTTAGTGCCTTTTGAATGAGTTAGTTCATACTGAGTCAGTATTTGACACTGATTTCTAGTAGGTTTTTATCTCCAGATTTTACCCAGCCTTCTAAATCTTTCCATTCTTTTAAGTACACAGTAATTAGATTTATTCCATAATTAATTGTCATAAGAATTAGTACAGTAGGTATATCCTGTCACTTGATATAGACTAAAATTTAAATGATCCCTTCTATCCAGAAAGATAACTTAAAATTTATCTACAAGATAATCAAATATGAATGTGTTCATGTAAGTGTCAGATAATTTGATAAAGGAAAAGTCTCACTTTTCTTTAATTGCCCTGAGAAGTGTACCTGGAATTAGGTCAACTAATGTCCCTTGATTGAAAAGGAAAAGGATACTGACTTGCAGTTCCTGAAAAAAATGAGCTATGATTGAACCTCCGAACCCATGAAAATCTTCATGCTGGATCTAATGTTATCTTCAAGTTATTCTGAGAGTTCTGGCTGATTCCAGTCAGAGTTTCAGGGACACCAGGGTCATGAGCGTGCCAGTTATAGATCAAGGCACACGCTTTCTTCTTCTCCTGCAAGTACTGAGAAAGCCAAGAGTCAACCTTGGGACGGTCCAATAGTGTGTCTACTACTGATATGTACTTAACTCTGTTAATGGACGCCCTTGAGTTAGATATCCACCCCCTCCTGGCAGTTTCCTGATGACACTGGGCAGAACACAGCAGGCATGATAGACCTGGGCATCCTCGGTGAATGGCACCCCTTGATGACTGTATCACAGAGAACCTGAAAGAAGGGTCCTGACAAAAGGCCACCTGAGCCAAGGGCCGTGTCCAGTTTCCTCCTTCATGGTGAACAATCTGGCATCCTCTGGGACTTGCTCAGGGATGACTGAGGAGTTGAGGATGAGGAGGGTTTTGATCCCAGACAGTGTCCTACCACATGGCAGCGGACGTGGGACCATCCTCCACCCCCTGCTCCTGGCCTGTGTTTCCACACTTCCCGAGCTGGGGAGGTGCCCATTGCTCTTGTTCACAGGTTGCCCACTTGAATTTCTTCCTTTTCAGAGCTGTCGGCTTATGATTCCACGAACAGATGGACGGCTAACAAACTCGGTGCTGTTGTTGTCGGAGCAGAGTAAGAGCGATTGTTCTCCCCAGCACAGGCCTCGCCTCACAGCACAGTGTCCTGTCCAGGGCCAGCCCCTCAGGCCTCAGGAGTGCCTGGTCTGGGATTGGGGTTTACATGGATTTTTATGAACAATATAATATCCAGGCCTCCTCGAAGGGGCTTAGTTCCACTTCACTGTGCCCTTGAGGGACCTCTGAGGGGCACCCYGGGGGGAGCATCTTTGCTAGCACAGCTGTGAAAACCCCTGGGAATGTAAAACTCAGGTTCTAGGATGACCCAGTTTAATCCCCAGGTCAGAGACTTGGGAGGGGAACTTAGTTTCCCATTTCCCATTTGGGAGTTTTTTGAGCTGATAAAAAAAACACCTGAAGTTTAAAGATGATCCCAATTGGAGGAGGATGATCCCTTAGGTGGGGAATGCTGGGACCCTGAGAGTCTCAAGCATGCTCAAATGAGGGTGCTTAGCACCCCACAACTTTCCCCGCAGTTCCAGATATGTTCCAGAAAAGCCAGCAAATGCCGGTCACTTTCTGACCCACGCTGTCCTCTGAAATCCTGATCTGAGGAGGAGGAACTTTTCCATCTCTGCTGCCCATATCATAGTGCAACATAGAGGTGCCTGCCTGATGGGAAGGATACAGTGGGGTTTCCTGGCTCCCTGGGGGTCTGAGGGGGTCGGTTGGAAGGTTCTAGTAGAATCAGTGCTGAAGCACTCATCACTACTGCCCTGTAGCAACCAGATGATCCCTGTGTGTTCAGAGCTATTTCTAATTTACAACAACAAGAAGAATATTCTCCCTTTCCTTCTATAATTTTAAACTAAAAGACCACTTTATCATTTTAAATAAACACTTCAAATGGTGATAGATGTTGATTCTGGTTTAAGAATTCTATCAGTGACTGATGGTATTTGCTGTTCTTTACCCTGAAGAACGCTGAGTGTAGCAGCTACATTTTTGATATGTTACTTTTTAAGATTACACTATAATTAGGGTATTTTGGACACAGATAATAATATAACAAAATTTCCAGGGCCATCTGGGCAATACTAAGTGTTCGGCATGGCATGCAAATAATTCACCAATTCTTATAAATATTAAGATTACTACTATAGTTAGAAATAGAAAATAAATTCCAATGAGCTATGCTCCTGTAATAGAAGACAGTGTGTGGCAGATACCTACGTGTTAAAACATGCTGTAATAATTGATCTTACAAATGAACTCAAGATGACCAAGCACCATCCCTTGCTATACTTCTTTTATATTTGATTTTGAATTAAGTTTTCGCACAGTGTTCATGATATGAAATGGGTCGTGCTAATTTGACCTAAACAAATTTCTAATGCCCAACGCTGACAGATCATTTATTTTCAGGGTTTCTGTGTTTTTTTTTTCTAAAATCTCTACATGCTCCTATCAGTGGCTCTAAAAATTTTTGAGTTGTCAACTACACTGAGAAAGTGACAGAAGCCAAAGCGTGTCTCCATGAAACCCACACACGAAAGATTCACTGCTGAGAGCTCACATGTGACAGTGTGGGGTGGAGACCAGGATGACGTCTCCACCCCTCCCAGTGAGACCAGGAGTTCAGAGGCCCCATCCCAAAATCTGTTCTTATGTTAAGCAGGAGTTAGAAGCAAGCCCAGGTCTGGGTGGTGAGATTGACGGTCCACAACTGGGCCCAGATTGACTGGCCCTGTGGGTCCCATGGAGATGCCTGGACACACTGCCGAGAGCAGAGTCTAACCACGGGGTGTCCTGTTACCTTGGTTCCCCCTCTGCAGCTATAGACTAGCTCCTCAGTACCAGTTCCCAGTTTCCCTGGAAGACGCCATTTTTGTGGTCAAGTTCTTTCTTCAAGATGACATTCTTGCAAACTATGGAGTGGATCCCACCCGAATCTGTATTTCAGGAGACAGTTCTGGGGGTGTGTTGGCAACAAAAGTGACTGAGCTGGTAAGTCTTCCATGTCATGCATGTTCCTAGCACACACACCATGAGCACCACCCAAGAGAACCTGTCATTTCAGCTGCAATCTCTRTGAAATGTTAAAATACACACCCCAAACTACTTTCTGTCCTTTTCGCATGATTGTATCTTCAGATAGATAAAACTTTAAAGGCATCAAGAGAATGAAATATAATGCTGCATAAGGCTCTATTTTTATCACTAATTTTATGGGGGAACACCCAGTAATGTCTAGGAACTACCATGTGATATGATAGGGAGTTTGTTTTTCTCCCTACGTAAACTGTAAAGTTTGCCAGGAATTTGGGATGATGGTAATTGGCGTGTTAAGCCCTGTAGGGTGTCATGACATAACGTTAGGCCATGTGTCATCCTCATTCAAAAGCATGACTACCGAGACAGAAGAGGAACTGGCCCTCAGGTTAAGCCCTGTCTGTGTGCAGCGGAACAATAACCAACCCTAGGTAGTATATCTGAAAAGTAAAGTCAATTCAACACACAATCTTAACCTCAAAACCATTTCTTAGTGGAACAAAGTTAGTATAGCAGAAACCTTTTAGTATACAGTCTTTAAATAAAAATGAAATACAATAAAGCCACCATGAGCCACCATGATCTCTTGGCCTCTTGTTAGGGTGGCCAGAGGAAAATGCACCTAATTCTGCTCCTCTGCCCCATCTCAGAGCCCCTCTGCCTCCTTAGCTTCAGAAACCCAGGTGGCTTCAAGGAGTTGAAGTGCATGAGATTTGGGCCATGGACTAAAACTGTCCTTGCTTGCATCTGGAAGCCCTCAGCAGCAGAAGAGCTTCCAACAACTGGGAGAAGGCAGACGATTCCTGGGAGACCCGCCCATGTGGAGGGCGGGTCGAGGGGTGAGACACTTGGGAAGTTATCCCCAGGTCCTGAAGCTGCGTGCGGGAACTCTGCATGCAACACTTTGGGTGATTTTAGCTTTTTGAAGATTATTTCTAGAGCACCATGAGTGTATGTCACCTTTCTCTAGGTGTTTTCATGCGTTTAGAAACCTTCCCCTCCTATTACAAAGCCACTATAAAACTCTCAGTAACATAAATCCTTAATACCAGCCCTCAACGGGGCTGGCCACACAATCTTGAAGCCAGCCCCACTGGGGACAACGCGTCTTTATTGAAGTGTTCAGAAACCAGCGGTGTGATGGGTACCTAAGTCATATGGCCATCGAGCAACACGGCCAGAGGCTGATCAGAGCCGGTTCAGCAGGGAGCAACTCTGAGCTGCACAGGGTCTGCACTATGACTGGAGTTGGGGGCTGGTTTCTAGACAAGAAGGACCTGTCCTGAAATAGCATCAACCCTTTCTATCCAGAGTGACTAAAAGGTCCCATRGAGACAAGGACAATTGCAGTTTTGCACTAAGGGCAGGGGGGATTAGGATGTTCCCTATCTAGTCTCCTTTGACTTTGTGCGTAATAACACTGCTGCCTAGCAGATCCTTCCCTTGCACTCAGGTCCTTATTGGTTGCCCAAGGGGTGACAATGCATGACCACTGTGTTTCCAGGGCTCTCTATGCCTCCCGGGCTCCATGCCCTTTAGTACCCCTGCTGCTTTGCTTTCTGGTTGGTTCCTCCTCTTGGACAGGGAGACTAAGCCAGCTTCTTCAATAGCCAAGGGTTATTGCCAGGAGCCTGCTTGTCACATGCCTGATACTGCTTTCCGAATACTTTTTTCTGATCACAAAGATGATAATGCTATTATCTTATTTGAAGAATAGAAGGATGAATAATTAATTCATTCATCCTTTCATTTTTCTCATTGCTATATATACATTGTATATATAAAATATGTCTTCTACATATTATATATATATATATATATATATATATATATATATATATATATATATAAAATCCCACAAAAAACATGTAATTTATAGGCTATATGACACCAATAAATATAAAAAAGCCAGGCACAGTGGCACATGCCTGTAATCCCAGTGGCTTGGGAGGCTGAGGCAGGAGGATAACAAGTTCAAAGTCAGCCTCAGCAACTTATTGAGGCCTGAAGCAACTTAGCGAGACCCTGTCTCCAAATAAATAAATAAATAAATAAGGACCGGGGATGTGGATCAGTTGCTGGATTCAATCCCTGTCAACTTCCCCCATAAAAATAAATAAATATATAAAATTTAAAAAATAGAATATAAATAAATATATAATATAAAATAAATATATTCATGTTTCCATATAGATAATGGTAAAAATGGAAGGATGATGGATAGATAGGAAGATAGAAAGGTACACAGATATGAGGACAGCTCAGAGAGTATCAGGAATAAAGGAATTAAATATCTAGTGGAAGGAATAAAGAGGGTATCCATCCACCCAGCTGCGGAAGCTGGTGGGCAGCTGGGGCATTTGCTCCTGGGAGGTTGATCGTAGGTCCTCTCCCATAGGGCTAGGAAGGAAGAGGAAGCCACCTCTCAGCTGAGACCTCAGGAAAGAGCAGCCATGCACATTGAGTTCCACATCTTTCCCCAAACTTCAAATTGGCATAACTTACTCTCTTTCCATCACATGGCAGGATCTTTGTCCTGAAGGTGATTGCATACAGGACTATCCTTTCCTCTGGTATATTTCCTTTTGAATTAACATGTGAGTCATTAGTATTTTATCATTATACTTATTGTTTCTTTTCATTTAGCATAATTTAGTGAAAAAAAGTTTTTTAAACATAGATATCCTGTCATCTTCTCTAAGAATCTCATAATTACATTTATAGTTGGTCGTCATGTGTGTATATGCATGTGATTCTGTGTGTGGTTTCTTTACTGATAAAACTGGAATGGCAACTTTTCATGCCTCCAAAATTGGGTGTGAATGTTATCAGAATAATGTTTCTAACCATAATTTACAATTTGTTTCATGAATTTATTTGCCTCCTGCTCCTGCAGTTTGAAAGTCTTTGATTCATTAATATTTTATTATTATTTTTTCCAGCTGCAGAATGATCCAGAATTCAAAAATAAAATTAAGGCACAAGCCTTAATTTACCCTGGCTTACAGATACTTGATACCTTCATGCCGTCTCACCAGGAAAACAAACACGGGCCGATTCTGTCCAGGGACCTGGCAATTAAATTGGGCTGCCAGTATTTGACCAAAGATAAGGCTCTGCCCCAGGCCATGAGGGAAAACCAGCACATGCCCCGAGAGTCCAGGCATCTGTTTAAATTTGTTAACTGGAGTGTCCTCCTTCCAGAGAAGTATAAAAAGAACCACGTGTACAAGGAGCCAGTTCTTGGAAAGCTTGACCCTTCATATCCAATTCTAATGGACAGCAGGGTGTCACCTCTGATAGCCGATGATTCTCAGCTGCAGAACTTGCCCTTGACCTACATCCTCACTTGTGAGCATGACATCCTGAGAGATGACGGGATCATCTATGTCACCCGGCTGCGCAAGGTCGGAGTTCAGGTCACTCACGACCACATAGAGGACGGATTCCATGGAGCCCTGTCACTCATAATGTCACCGTTTCATTTACGTTTAGGCTATCGGATACAGAACAAGTATATTAGTTGGTTAGAAGAAAATCTGTAAGTCTGAACAGTGCACGGAGCTGGCGAGTCAGCGTTATGATCCAGGGCTGTGGTGTGAAATATTGTGAGTTTAACAGACAGAAGGATGAGTTTGGGATAAACCTACATTGAAACTGGAAGAAAGGCTCTCATGTATCTTTCAGCCTAATCTTAGATCTTGATAAAGTGAAGACATTCACCTTATTATTCCCAGGAAATATCACTGACCCTGATAAGCTCTGAGGAAGGACCACGAGCAGATGTTCAAACCCTGAGTGTGGGTGGGTGAGCCAGGCTGGCCGCTCCTGGGCACTGGTCAGGGTGCTAGTGGTGTGTGGAGGGAGCTTAAGGCAGAAGAATCCCAGTGGCCCTTGTGTAGAGAGGGACGTCCACTTGACTGCAGAATCCCCCCCCCCCAAATTCGGTATTGTCCATGTGTTAACTGGACAATAACCTGTTAGGTTTTTTTCCCATTCATTTCATACTGTCTGCCTAATGCTAGGCTTTTTGCTCATAGCAGGAAAAGGTTAAAACCTGGGCTGTGGATCATCCCTACAGCCTAAATGGTTGAGCCTTAATCAAATTTTTTAGCAACTCAGACCCTGAAGTTCACTTCATGGATTGCTATGTGCAGTTAATGAGTCCAGAAACTTCCTTCGCCAACTGCGGGTGGCAGTCGGAATTGTTTATTCCGTTCTTCTGAATTTCCGGAATGAATCCTTCAACCTCCCAGAGGCTTTGGAACTAGCAGGACATTTAAGCTGAAGATCTTCAGACCCCTTTGCCTTCCAGTGATGCTGGGCCTCCCACGCCAGCCTAAGCCAACTGCACGATACCATGCACGGCCACAAGGGGGCACGACGAGCAAGGTCTGCTTTCTGGCCGTCCCTAGGATGCTGCGGTTTGCGAGGTGGTGTTTCCCCTGTTCTGTGCTTTTTCTTAAGGATGAATAAATTCGGTGTTGTGTAAGTGTAACCATATCTTGTGAGTTTTATTGATAACCCAATTCCAAAACACGTTATTGTTTAAAAATTTTACGTTGGTGTTTTTTATTTGTAAATAACACTAGGATTTATTATCGCCATATTAGTACAGGCACATAAGTTGATAAGCCTTGTTCCCCAGTATCATCATCATCATTATTATTAATATAATATTTTCAGCATCTCAATTATTTGCTTTTTGGTCATCCCAAAGATAAGCTTTAGCAGATTTCACCATGTAAGGCTCGTCCCTGGAATTCAAATACTAAGCAAGTGCATTACATCTAGAAAGTATTGACAGGTAGTTTTTTTTGTTATGCTTCGTCACATGTTATGTGAGCAGCTATGCAGCAACTCTGTTTGTTTCATTTCTAAAACAGAAGTGACATTGATTAGCTCACTTTGAACCAGAACTAGAATATATCCATTTGCCTGAATTAACTACCAGTCATGTAAATCATGTGAGCCAGTAGTGTGTGCTATCTGCTCACTTGAGTTCATAGCTCAATTTCTGCTCTGTAAGCATTGTCCACCAGGAAGTATGTAGGCAAACTCTAGCCTCCCTGCATATGCTGGCCTCTCAGTTCATTCACAAAACTCTGTTGAAGAGTTCAGTTTTCAAAAAACCCCAAGCTTGGAGAATGGGCAAGATCACTGAGGCACTATCTAGTTCATAAAGCAAACATTTTGAAGTAGATTCTTTAAACATTAAACATTCACAGAAAGTCAAAAGGAAAACAAGAATGTTGGAATTAAATATGAATTTTGTTAGTTCAGTCACCACTCAGATGATTGATCTTTCTGTTAGTGTGTATAATTGAACATCAGTTATGTAACATTTTTATAGAGTTGTCAAATAGTCAAACAAGCATTTAAATGTTGATAGTTACAGAGAAGTTTGTAAAGGTGTAAGATTAAAAAAAATCTCGACGATTTCAAAAATAGAGGGAGTAGTCAATACTTGAGATTTAAAGGGGTCATAAAGAACCTTACATTGGAAAAAACAAAACCAAAAAGCCTAGTAGTGTACTGAGCACTAAAATAGTTGAAAACTTGATCAATGGCCTGTGTAAAAATGCACAGAAGCAGATAAGTTCATAGCCAATTTTATCTCATTTAAAATCAGTTTATGCAAGTGTTCATGGAAGAATTTTGAGAAAGTTAGAAAGACAATAAAATTTATTGTTTGAATTCAGCATAAGTTACCAAGCTATAATAATGATTATAACAAAGTTGTATTATAAATACAGATGAAAAATTCTACATAAAATTTTATCAAGAGAAATCAACCATAAGCTAAAAGAATGTCACTCTGTGACCAAGCAGGTTTTATTCCAGAAATTCCAGGGTGTCTTAATCAGGAAATACATCCAGACACTTAAAAACTAACAGAGAAAAGTAATATATATATATATATATATATATATATACCATATATATATGGTAGATATTTAATAAAATCCATATTATTCCTAATTAAAATAAAACTTTAAGGAAAATAGATGGTGAAAACTTAAATAGGAAAAGTTAATTGAAAATCTCCAACAGTAGGTATTTCAAAAATAATGAAACACTGAAAATTACTAACTAAACTCAGGATGCCTAACACTATTAACTAACTAAAAGGATGCCCAGCAACATTACTATTTAGCCTGGACATGAGAGTTGTCATAAAAGTAGAAATACAAGGAAAACAATATTGTGTGCATACACTTGGAGATAACAATAAAACATTTCTTATTTGCTGATGGTATAGTTATTTACCAGCTGAAGAGCTTAGCATACGTGAGCTAACAACAGACTATGGCAATGGAGTTTATTTGAAAATTCAGTATTAAAAGATAGTATTTCTCTGCTCTTGCAATAGAAACATAAAAATGGCATGAGAAATATTCTATTAGCAGAAGAAAAAATAAAGAGGCAAAACATTTAGGACAGGGCATAACTCATTTAAGGGAAATGTCTTCTTACAAGATGAAAACTCTGAATAGAAAACATTAAATGTTTTCAGGTAGAAGAGATACTTTCATAAACCATTCCTTTCTCTTCAGATTAGCATAAATATTATCAAATTCAAGTCTAACCCATGGTATAGATATTTTTTTGTGTGTGTGTTGGATAAAACAATTTTAAAAGTACAGAAAAAAGAAAACTTCAAAAACATTTAGGAAAATAGCCTGCAAATAGTGAAGATGAAAATAAAACCTATACTACAAGTCGGAAAACATCAAGCACAGTAAAGATCACACTATCCTCCAACTGGAGGACACATGAACATCATGCTGGATTGCAGGGCAGCAGATCTCTGTAGAGCTGTTGGTGTGGACATATTCATAGTTTTTTCTGTGCAATAGTTTTGACAGTTTTTATGCTGGTACAAACACATGCACCAAAAAGAGTAGGTCTTTTAAAGACAGTGCAAGAGTCAACACAGAGTGTCATTGTAAGCAGCATGTACCTCGGTCACTCTGAAGGCCCCTTCCTGAGCCTGGAGATGCAGCTGACTACCTTTGCTGGGCCTGGTGTTGAGGGAAGCAAATGTTAGGACCTAACGCAATTTCTGCTAAACTTTTCGAGTCACATGGGAGAAGAAGCTGACTTTCCATGTGACCTCATGTATAGCAGGAGGCTACCTCTCAGGTAGCTAGAAAGTGAATCTTTACATTAACCCATTAACCACCTTTTTTTTTTTTTTTTTTTTGGTGGTGGTGCATGAATATTGGATCTAGGGCCTTTTGTATGCTAGGCAAGCACACCACTGCCAGGTAGATCCCGGGCCCCTTGCCAACTGTATCTTCAAGAATTGGGTAAAGAAAGGAATGGAATATGGTCCCAATGTCAAGAAGCCCCTAGATTACCATAGGCTTGGGTTGATGCACTTCCTTATGATAAGAAAGATACACAGTGAATATTATAAGATCACAACTGTGAAGTTTCTTTATAAATTGGATTTGACTACATATTAATACATAACAGCTGATGAATAGTAAATTTTTAAAACTGTTTAATATTTTTTTAATTGTTCTAATATAAAGTCACATAAACAAATCAGTGTTGGTTCTTTCCAGAACAAACAGGCAGTGGAACAGAACAGAGAATATAGAATCCCAGTGTACATGACCCATTGTGGGGAACATTGTGTAGGTTCAATTGATGGCTACGAGAAAGAAACCAAGTGGAACCCAATTTTATATGAATAATGAAARTAAATTAATAGCTATAAATGGTAGAAATAATAAACTAGGATTCTATAAAAAAATATTACAAGAAATGAGCTGGCCATCTGTTTGCCTTGCCCTCTGGTGAGAAGGTTGCAGGGTTCAGGCGTGGCCAACCATTGGTGTCCAGTGAAAGGCCCCTTCCTGGGAAGTCCTCATCTTCCAAGGGGTTTTAAGGACTCAGCACCAAGAGCCAGGTAGTGGTCTTGGCAGCATTTCTCCTGGGAGGTCGTATAGCAGTGTGATTTCAGTGAGCGACTTCAGGCCTCACCTCTGCTTACCGCTTCAGGACAGCTGGCCTCTGCAGAGGAAGACACAGTGGCTCAAGACAACACCGGCCAGTGGTGCTTTAAAACCACCTCTGTTCTTTCGATGCATTCTTTCACTTTTCCCTTTGTCCTGGGCCTTGATATCTCCAAAATGCTCCTGGCTTCTTCTGACTTCCAGCAGCTCCTACGGGGAAACACCAGTGCTGGGGATCTAGTGTGGTTCCTGAGTTGTCAGCATTTCAACGCACGTTGGCAAGGAGAGACTGAAGGACGTGTTCTGGGTAACTCTAGGGCAAGCAGCACCTGCTCTCCCTCTGGACCAGGTAGAACCATGACTCTGAGGAGGGCGAGGTGACATCATCTGCCCCCTGCTGTTAGGAGTGTTCTGTGGTCCTTGCTGGGTTTCCCTTTAGGCTTATGCAGTGTTGAATCATCTCCTGTGTGTGGTAAATCACCTGTCCCCAGCCACCAGGGTGGACTGCAGGCATGGGACAGGAAATGCAGGGTAACTGTACCCATTAGCTGGATCTTGTCACTGTGAGCCCCACTCCC